AGGGTCTGGAAGAGGGGAGCTTGTCGGAGGACCCCATCTTGTTCACGAGACCGCGGGGTACACCCCCCTGTCTGCAAATAACTTATCTAGTACCCAAATTGTTCACAAACGTGCCCCATTTTGTTCAATACCCATTTTTGTTCAGTCGTGACGCTCCTGCGGACTGCCAAAATGGCAACCAACAACCACACCGCAGACCACCATATCTCTGTATCTCCTGTCTCCTTGCCTCGCCGCAGACCACAACAACGCATGTATGTTGCACCGCAGACCACCATACCCCAGCATATTTTGTCGCCACACCTATGGTGGTCTGCGGTTGGTTGTTGGTTGCCATTTTGACAGTCCGCAGGAGCGTCACGACTGAACAAAAAGGGGTATGCCTTGAACAGTATGGAGTACGTTTGTGAACAATTTGGGGTACTAATAAACTTTTAACAGACAGGGGGGTGTACCCCGCGGTTTCGTGAACAAAATGGGGGCCTCCGACAAGCTCCCCTCTTCCAGACCTTTTGTAACCCTGTTCCTGTGGGTGACAAGCAAAAAAAAAGTGGGCGTCCTTTCGAAGGACCTGGCGCATGGGGTTGAAGCGCTGTAAGGTAGTTTAAAGGCGCCTACCCTGCGTCAGGCGTTGCGCCCGTCACCGAAAAAAGTATACCCCATTTTGGGCCTAAACACGCGGGGTATTACCCATTTTGTCAATTCCCCTGCCTTTACTCCCTTCCCGACTGCCTCTACGACTTCCAACAGATCGTTTTTGAACACCTGGAACAATGTTGGGGACAGCGTGCAACCTTGTGGGACCCCCTGTTCAAAGTTGAAGAATTTTGACAGTTCTCCGTCTGGCATGACCGCGCGTTTCGTTCACTCTGTCATCTTCTTCAGCACTCTCCACATTTTCCCCTTGATCCCGTTACTTGGACAATTGTTATCACAGCCCATTCTCCATACAATGTATCGTATGCCTTTTGCACGTCCAGGAAGAAGCAATACGTCGGTTTCCCCGCCCTCTTTCTACCTCGGATGGTTCTCCCTAACGTGAATGCGTGGTCTCGCACCCCCTCTTCTTTCGGAAACCTGCTTGGCCCTCACTAATGCTATGTTCCTTCTCGAATACTGCCACTATCCCATCGTTCAGCAGCTTACAGAACACTTTTCCTACNAGTTGAAGAATTTTGACAGTTCTCCGTCTGGCATGACCGCGCGTTTCGTTCACTCTGTCATCTTCTTCAGCACTCTCCACATTTTCCCCTTGATCCCGTATTTGGACAGTTGTTTCCACAGCCCATTTCTCCATACGGTGTCGTATGCCTTTTTCACGTCCAGGAAGAAGCAGTACGTCGGCTTTCCCGCCCTCTTTCTACCTTGGATGATTCTCCCTACCGTGAACACGTGGTCTACGCACCCCCTCTTCTTGCGGAAACCTGCCTGGCCCTCACTAATGCTATGTTCCTTCTCGAATACTGCCACTATCCCATCGTTCAGCAGCTTACAGAACACTTTTCCTACTGTGTTCAACTGTGTGATGCCCCTGTAGTTTCCTGGGTCAGTCTTGTCTCCTTTGGGACAAGTTCACAACCGCCCGTTCCCTCCATCTACTTGGCGCATGCTCTTTTTTCACACCCAGCTCTACCGCAGTACCTCAGCCGGATCATCCCCTTCCCCCCAAACTTCATGAACTCGTTGACTCGCACCCCCTCTTCTTTCGGGAACCTGCCTGGCCCTCACTAATGCTATGTTCCTTCTCGAATACTGCCACTATCCCATCGTTCAGCAGCTTACAGAACACTTTTCCTACTGTGTTCAACTGTGTGATGCCCCTGTAGTTTCCTGGGTCAGTCTTGTCTCCTTTCTTGGGACAAGTTCACAACCGCCCGTTCCCTCCATCTACTTTGCGCATGCTCTTTTTTCCACACCCAGCTCTACCGTAGTACCTCAGCTGGATCATCCCCTTCCCCCCAAACTTAACTCGTTGACTATCCCATCCTCCCCTGCTGCTTTGTGGCACTGCAGCTTATTCACTCGTTGTGCTCAACCTCGTCCTTAGTGAACTACATTCCCAATACCTTCGATGTTTCTTCTTCCAGGGCCCATGCGTCCACCTCCTTGTTAGACACTTGATCAAAAGCTTCATTCTCCGACGGCACTCCGAGTCTTTTGTAGTGTCCTGCTGTGTAGAACTTCCGTTTGATCCCTTCCCACTGCTGACTAGTCCGCCCTTCACACGCTTTTCCTGGACGGAGATCAAGGTCTCCTCCGCGAATTCCACGCCATTGTCGTGGACGTGTGGCAGACTGGGGACGTACCACAGCAGTGGAAGGATGCCACCATCAAAGTGCTGTTCAAGAAGGGGGACACGATGGAGTGCGGCAACTACCGGGGCATCTCGCTCGTCGCACACGCCGGCAAGGTGCT